AACTATTCAATAATGATAATCATTATGATTCAATGTGTTTATGTAGACTTTCAGTGCTTACCGTTTAAGTATATATTTTGGTTTTTAAATACTCAATACCATGACTCCTCTATAAACGAATTTTTTTCATAGGTAAAACATTTTCAAATTGATTCATTGAGTGCGTTTTTGTACTCGTCTACTATACCAAGTACCCATTAAATTCACCAAATGTAATGGTTCATAAATATGTTTAGCATTATGATTGTCGATAAATGTTAACGACTGACTGAAATTCACAACTGGGCTTAGTTGATTATCCTACGGAAGAGGAGAACTAAAACTAAATATTTTAATAATAATTCATTGTGAATATAGTTTGTGCAGCTCAATAACATCAGCTGTTTCACTATAGATAATCAAAAGTCAGTAAACACCTTTCGCAAGCACACTTAAACAAGTTGGAATTCCAAGCCAACAGTTTAGCCAAGGATTGAACCTATGGCCTCTGATAACTTAAAATGCTTTTTATCTTCAGACTACTAAGTTGGAGTCGAATTTCTAACTTTAGTTAGTTTCGACATGCTTTAAGATATTAATCATTGTTATCAGTAATGAATTATTCACGATGGAAAATTTTTATTAAAATGCTTAAATTTCACCGGTATTTAACTATAACTATCAATACTGTCTTTTCTTCAGCGTTGATATTAGTAACGCTTCGAAATAGGATTTAATTATTTGCATCAAGCCACACGTTAATTATGGAGTTTTAGGTATCTACCTTTCGTTTCTTATTCATTTTAAAATTCTTCTACCATATATTAAAAAACTATTTAAAACCTATCAAATTTATGTCAACTGTTTCAGTCAAATGAAAATATTATTTATTTTTCTCAATAAATGCAAGTGGAAATGATTGTAGTTTTTAGCATTTTTTTAGCAAAATGTTAAATTTCGAGAAACAGTGGAATACAGATAGGTTTATATGAAATTCACTTACACTTTCAATCTTTCATGTTTATTTTCACATTTAATTTAATTCCATTTCAAAGTACATTTGATCGTATTATTTACCCTAATAGGAAACAAAAATGCTGTTTAACAAACTAATTGTTTTATCAATATAATGGCATTTCAACAAAGTAGCTAACAAAGCATTAACATACATTAGTTATGCATTAGTCATAATTAACTTGGTTAATTGTAATCACATTTTCAAAACGACCAGTTAATTCGTGCAAAGATAATTTGAATAAACTACCACTGTATGTGACTCGATTCTGATGTGGGATTTTCGAGGCTGTAATAGATATATACTTATAGATTAAGAATGTCAACTTAGAATTTTACTTCAAAACTCTAGTACGATCTTCTCAAGTGTTGTGCATGTATTCCCTAAAGTGTTGGTCTTATCTTAAGTAAGTGCATGAATAATGTTGAAGTTACTACTTTAATTGTACTACCGGGCAATACAGTTTCAATTTAACTTTTAAACGATTGATTTGTTAAATATTGATTTTATTTGCTTGTGTTTTCGTTGCAAAAGTGAAATAACTGTTCAGATTACTGGGGAAACAAACACTTAGTTCATAATCGACACGAAAGAATTGAATTTGCACTCGATGGAAATCAGCTTTAGTAAATTTTCTAGCGCAACGATGACGAAGTAATATTTTAAAAGATAAAAATAACTTGACATTCTGAAATTGTTAGTAAATTCTCCATAACTTGATTCCTGCAGATGTATAAATAAGACGATAATTAGGTTTATTACAGCTTTCTTATATTTAAGTAACCTCATTTTAGAATATGCTGACTGAAAGAAAACGCTTGAACAGGTTAAAATACTTTCACAGTCAGGTAATTACTACCATCTTAAGATAAAATACTCTGTTTAAACATTGTGACATTCACGTAGATCATATGATGATATGAATTTAGATTTTTCCTCAGTTGTATTGATTCACTTTCACTTAGTTTTTAGGCTAATCAATTTCAAAATCTAATTACCCGTTTGATAGCAGTGAGTAATTATCTATGCGACAAGAATGATTTCCACGCCCTACTTCACTTAATTTTATCAAACTTATAAAATCTGTATATAAGTTGCTAATCAAATATCTGTGTAATTTATTAGTAGTTAGTTTCTCTATGCATAATTAAACTGATTTTGCACTGTTTCTATTCTGGCTACGGATGAACGTATTTTACCAGGTCAGATTTTGTTTATTGTAAGTGAACTCTGTATTATGTTAGGAAGTAAGTCAAGGATAGATTTTACTTATATTTTAAATGATATTTTAGAAGAACTAACTTTGTTCACATTAAAAACGCTGAGAAATATCTCGAAAATCTAACCATAATGTGTTTTTATTCTTTACTAAAATATTCAGTGGTTTTTGCGTAAGTTTTAAATTGATCGTGTAAAATAAAGAGATTTTGATTGTTTACCATTCATGTCATCGTTTATTTTATTCTTTCATAATATATGTATTTTTCTAATTGTAACGCAACGGTTCAAATAAATTCATAATGACGATTTTTTCTTTCCAGGATAAATTTTAAAATCCGAATTCAACTGTTCTTTTTTATTTAAAACGTAGCAGCCAGACAGTATGAGATAGAAAGGTTATGTTCAAACATTGGTAGTTACGGTATCTTAGCAACCATCATATTGAGTAAAAATGCTTTTCGATCATAGCATGCTAGTCGTCAGTAGTGTGATCCATAAAGCCACAAATAATCAAAATCAGGATCTCTGGTCTCACAAAATTAGGACTTTTAAAAATGAATCCTGAAGATCTAACGTCTCCAGCAATTGAATACCCGTTTCGTTAAGTAGTTCGTTGTTTCAGTGATTTTCTATCTGTAATTCGTTAAGCCAAAGCATAGCAATAAAGAATATTTTCGTCTAAGTTGTTGGTCAAGAAGTAAAGCGGTCGATAATTGCAAATAAAAAATAAATTTTAAACGTGTTGCCAATGAACGATCATCAATTTGATAAATGTTATTATTTTAATCGTTTATTTTGCATAGCGAGACTTATAAATAATTTATTTAGTTTCACATCAAATACTGCAGATGAAAGGATGGGGGAAAAATGTAAAAATGATAAGAATGTGATAGATCATGTGAAATTTCTTACACTGGATAGAAAATCAAAATTACCAGGCCAGGTTTAGGGTGAGAACAAATTGTCTGTTTACATAAAGAGATTACATTTTTCTATGAAGAGAGGAGATACCTGTGGTTTGCAAGTTAGAATCTCTGAAAGGCACCTAAATGGTTACAAAACAAATAAATCGCACTACTTAATAAGAGTAAGTGATAAACAATCATAGATCTTAACTTGGCTTTTGTGGCATTGTACAATGCCACCATGGTTCAAGGGCGTATACTTACATTTATCTAAACCTTGGCCATAGCAAAAAGGTAATTTCTTTATGCGTTCAAAAGTCAGTTTGTTCTCACCCTAAACCTTTCACGGTAATATTGTTTTATTCTGCAGAGCGTTCAGTTTCACATATTGTTCTCTTTATTATCCTTGTTTCTGTTCAGCGTTCATTTGTAGAGTTGAACATTTTTTTATTTTTTCATGTATCGGTGTTCTTAACAAGTATATTATGTATGATTAGTTTGTTTCAAATGAATCACCGTAATATAATATCATACAGTCATGATATTATTATTATTATTATTATTATTACATTGTTCATTTATTATCAAAGGGATTAATTGTTTCAACTCTCTTGATAGGTAAAAATATAAAACCAATTCTAATAAACTAGTTTTTACCATAAAACCTTTCATCTATGTTATTAAAAATCACGTTTCAGGTTATATCATTGATGAAGTGAAACAGCCATTGATTCAGAACTTTTACTTTGTTACATATCCAATTTTATCACGTAGGCATATAATGTAAACTTGGTTATTTAAGAACTAAATTTATCGCTTAAAATTTATTCTATACATATATTCTAAAATAGCTTTGGGGAAATGGTAACTGTAGTCACCCAGGTTCTTCAGAGATATTGTCAGATCCTTTTCTGAATCAATCAGTTTAAGGAAACGATTCAAATTAATGACCTTGATTTGGGCTGTGCTAATGCACATTAGTCGACGTAACCCAGTTAGTTTATTGGTATGATTCTTGAGGTAATATGCTGTACGTAAAACGATAAACTATGACATATGACGCAATATGCTGGGTTATGGAAGTAAATGATAATCTTGTACTTTTATATGACATATATCTTCTATTTATATAAGAATAAACTATTAAACTATTAAACTTGTAAGGTAAGCATCAAAATGTGATTCTCTTTAAGTCTTAGAAATACCTAGCTTCGTGGTACTCTACTCATGAGCAGAAATGCTAAATGTGCCATTAAATACCATTTGAATATCAAGTCAACTTATCTGACTTTGAACAGTAATTATTTTCAGATAAATATTGAAATTTTAAATTATTCTTTCATCTCTTGGCTATTGATACTTATTGATAAAACAAAACTCAATACTCTGTTGCTGTATTTGACCTCTTTGTACATCAATACACATTTTCATTATGACGACAAAACTAGGGTTTATTACTTGTGGCTAGTCTGAAATAGAAAAGAATCAATGAAAAAAAGGTAAGTAATAAATCAGTCACGAAGAAAATCTATAAAAAAAAGAAAATCTATCAACGCTTTTGAGTTACCTTGAAAAAATATGAAATTAATTCAGCAAGCAAAAACTGGTTTAGTTTCGTTTATACAGCTGTTTTTTTGGATGAATAATGTGAATGGTTTTGAAAATTGTCTTTTTACTTTGTCTGTAAAATCATAAAGATAGTGGAAGAAAACGTTTAAACGGATAACACTGTACACATAGGGAAAAAAGTTAGTTGATTCTGTGTAAAAATGATCCCAATCATCTATTCGTTCAATTAAATTTGTACATACGTATTCATTATGCATTTGTTTAAAAGATGCAGGATTTCGAGACATGTGATAATTATGAAAAAAATGGTATCATCTTTCATCCAGTTGTCCTGGAAAAGTGTTTCTGAAAGTTAATTGAGGTCTTCGACGCGGTCTTACAGGGACGGTAGCAGGGCATCTCTGATTTAGAGACCGCCTGAGCCATCCTGAAGCCATATCATTACGTCTATAGAGTGATGACACAATCACGCTCTGACGCTTACTTGATGAACTTGGTAGACCATATTGAGCAGAATAATGAGCTGCACGTAATCGCGCATTAATATTTCGACAATGACAAAGAAGTATCATTTTAAAAGGACCACGAAATTCACGATCGAATTTGGCATATATAAGGGGATTCAGAAAACTGTTCACATAACCTGTTGAAATGAAGGAAATAAGCAATGATTATTTGATTTTAAAAACTGTCAACACACTTCATTGTAAACCATAAAATTGATGAGGCCTACAACATTTAAACCATCGATTGCAAACGTCCAAGCTACAGCAGGTGTCCTAAATTAGAAAGATCAATTTGATAGAAACACATCGTGATGAAATTTTTCAGCAACTGTTTACATATTTTGAAATGATAGCATAAAATGAAAATAACATTGAATAATGTACATGAGATCTGCATGTATCACAAGCAAACTTTTCAATCAAAACCATCTGATAGATTAAAGTAAACAAAATCTTCCCATTTAATACGAAGTCTGAAATGAATTATGGTCTTGAGAAAGTTCGTTACAAACTTTAATTTTGGTTTATTGTTTGTAACCATAAATGTCACTTCACTACCTAGAATATTTTTCAACATACGTAACCGCTGATTCAAACATTCAAAATGACTGCATTCTTTTTACTGTTATAATTTCGTTTACATAAAAAAAGAGAGTGCAATTATTGACAGTAATGTTGATGATCTGTTAAAAACTATATTTGTCACCTTCGTTGATTACAAACAACATTACTATGTAGATGTACATTTATAAAATATAACCCTCTAGGCTCATTAGATAGTAAGTAGTTATGTTTGGATAATTGACTGACTATCTAACACTCTACGCATACTTGATAATACTATAAAACAACTCTACAAACATCAAAGAAGTAGATTAAGATCCAGATAGGTAAGTTTACAACCAAATGTTTTGCATTCACGTGAAACAATAAATTAACTGAAGTCGAGTAAAGCAATCTGACCATTCCGATATACATGTCTCTTATTCAAAAGTGAAATATATATATATATATATATATATATATATATATATATATATATAGTTCGAGAAGCGTCTGTTCAAATAAATAAAAAACAAAAAGAAAACAAGACTCATAAAAATTAATACAGGGAAGTTATTGATACTGAATTCATCTTGTGTCGGTTTCCCATATAAATAGTAAAAGCTGAATGCACGATCCAGACTAAGCTGATGCACCTGTAGCTCATTCCAACAAACTAAGATTATGAGTACAGCATAATTTGAATGATTTTTAATTGCGTAGATTAGAATTTCGTAATCACGTTTTGATGAATTAATCGGCATTTATAAGATGTGACTGGCGATGTTTTCAATATGGCTGATAAATGTTACAAGTGAATTTTTCATTTATTTCTTTGATATCAATTAATAACACTATTTAAATAGTAAATTGTGAAATTCGGTGAAAGGATCCTTTTTTCAAGCAAACTTATTAGCGACTGCACAGTGGCATATACATAAAGTTTCAATTACCAATTATTTAAAGACCATAATCAATAAATCAGCATGAATATTCAATATCAAGAGAAATAATACATTAAATTATGCATGAGATGTGTAACGTTTCTAGGATGCATGAGAATAAAAGGGCTTGAAAATAACAAGTTAACGATGGGACAAAATAATTCAAATGTCTACACCACAGCAATTTATGGTCATAGAGGAATTAAATGAAGAGAAGTTATATCAGAAATAGCTATAGTTACAAGCATGGGGATAGAGAAAGATCGATTTTCTAGTGCAAAATCAATAAAATTTAAATAACAACATTCAAGAATAGGACTGTTTAAGGCAGCATTATGACATATTTCGATTGTATACAACGTTTAAGTTTCATTTCTTGGATAGAAAAAGTCACTGCCGTTTAAAGTCTTTGAGTGAAGAGAAATGTTGATAGATGTGAATACATTTTATGATCAACCTTAAATAAACAATGAGATCTGCTAAGTGATTAGATTAGGTGAATGATCAAGGACTGCTTTCGTTTCACCCAAGTAGAAGCTTACTGGAAAATGTTCTCAGTCGGTATAGGAAACTGATGATGACGAAAAATAGGTATCGTTTCAATTGTATGGATTATCAACAAAATCATAATGAACTTACCTAACCATTGTAAAAATCGAAATACACCAACTGGAATCAAATTTTCAGTGTTATAACCAGCTGCACTTAAAAGAGCCAAAAGTAGCTGAAAGTTGAAAATTTAAAAGAACAATGTAGATTATTAAATTTTAAAATCATTGAAACACTGAAAAGTAAAGTGTGGGATAGTGTGGTTATTAAGTGTACATCAATAAGATAAAATGTTGTCGCCAAAAGAATAATTAAAATGAACAGAGTCAATTAAATGAAAATTATGCAAACGACACCTAAATTATATACGTAATGGAATGGAAAAATGTAATGCAACAATATTATTAACCCTTTTAACATTTAAAAACTCTAATCGTTCATTCTGTAGCCAAATTTACTTTGTACAATACTTTGTTACAGTAAAATGTCGGAACTAGTTGATTCGAAGCAGATATAATCATGATGGAAGAGAGCATTTTACATCAATGACACATTGAAACATGATAAATTAATGTCAATCTTATTCCTGCTGGATGATTACTAGCTTCTTTGAAAATTCGAGCAAGAAACTAATTTCTTTATTCAAATCACTAATTTTGTACAGTCATCACACCAAACAATTCACTGCAAAATATGCTCCGATAAAAACTACTAAAATAGATTAATACATAAACCATAGTTAACATTTACTAAAAATTTTGTAAATTATCTAAATGTGAATATGTTGAAAATTGATTTTATATCCATCCACCTTAACTATCGATGTCCTTCCTCATGTTTGCGGATTGCATTTCATCAACATTTTATTGAAGAAGATAATAAGACTGGAAGAGTTGGAAGAAGTGAGTTCAGTTTATTGTCACCGCTTAGTTTCATAAACTTCTATATATACATGACTTGGAATAAGAAGTTATGAAAATTTTGTGGAAAATAATCTCAGTGACTGGAATTTTAAGGTAATTCCAACGTTCCGTCTAGCAATTTCGTCTGGTCTTCTTCAGGGTAATAATAAAAAGAATCAAAATTTACAAAGAATACATAACGTCTAGCAATCAAACAAGCTGATTTTAGTCAATATGATCAGATGAGTCAAGTGAGATGTGTAACATGTGAAAAGTTTACAATGTGAAAAGTAAATGAATGTGTGCATGTGTTTGTGTCAATCTATGTTATGCACAGTTGAGATTCAGTGAACAAATGTCAATTGTTTGTTTATCAAAATGTAAACATTAAAGTACAAATGTAAATGCTTTTTTCAAAAAGTCGAATATGTAAGTAAAGTGACATCTACCAATTACATAGTTGCGATGTATTAGATATTAAAATAGTTAGCAATCGATCAACGTTACATACGAAGTGAACTAGGTGGATAGAGAGGAGGTTCAGTTATTTGTAATGTCATTTACAATTGAATGGCTAGTTGAAAACAATCTTTTGTGTTTAGACTGTTCTTAATAGCCCATCCATACATCGCTTCTACTGTCAATCTTTCTTGATAAGATATCAACACTTGCTGAAGTATTCTGGTCCCATCAAAGTTAATGATGTGTCCTGTTTCTAAATTCTATTTTGAAATACATAGATCTCATTCATTAAACGTCTTCAACTAATGAATCCACTGGTTAGCGAATGCTATGTGGTGTTATTTGGTAGTTAAACATATAGTGAAAAGATGAGAGCGATCAACTGAACGTGCTTCAAATGTTTTCTGTACCAAACTATAGTTAGTTACTTTATACATAAATATTAAAACAAATTGTGTAAATGGGACAATTGCTGTAAGCGATAATTCGGTATTTATTAGGTTTTTTTACTTTTAATGATTTTGGTCTTTTAACACTGTTTGAATTATTATTGGTTAAAAGGTTTCATTTAGCGAATGCGTATTCAACTTGACATTAAGTGGTAAAGGTATTAAGATGGAGATAGAATCTTGAAATCAATTCAATTATCTTCCATTACCACATTTCTGTTCATGTGCCCAGTTATTATACTCTCCTTCTAGCCAAATTGATTAACTATACTGTACTGTTTTGTGCTTTAATCACTATATTCATAGGTAATCTCATCATTGTCAACAACTAACCAACACATAATCACCATTAAGCAGAATCGTTTGAACAAAATTTACACATGAAATGATATTAAGAAAATGTTGATAAAGATATCACAATATGTCTAACGGTATTCCATTACTAAGTATATCGTAATAGAATAAGAGATCAAGCTTTCGAAATGTCACATCATACGCTGGATACACTGTATAGTACAAGAAGCAACAACTGATTGGTGTTCTCATTCAACAGAACCAGCAATCGAGTTTAAGTAGGACATTTTCGACAAGAAATCTAGCGTCGTCAATGAATTTGTGAACAAAACATTAGAAATATTACAAAATGTACAAGAAGAACATTTATTTCCACATATATTTTTCTTTTTTAATGGTTCACATTCTGCTTAGTCAGTGTAGACGATCGCTGTAAATACACCAATACATCATTTGGACTTCAAACAGTAATTAATAATATCACACCACTTTAAGTACTAAGTAAATACTAAAAATAATAATCACCAAAAGTAATGGTTAGTCTAATTTCTGGAATCATGAAACAAATCATCAGAGTTGTTTGATGAAATACAGAGTTAAATTTATAATTCAACATTATTGAACACAGAAAAGAAATAGTCAGATGAGTGAAATGAATTTCAAGTGTGTCAATATTTTTGAGTTCATTAAAATAAATGCTTGTCTAGCAAAACAAACCGTTTGGTGATGAGATTACTGTACTTAGATATGTAAAAATTCACGATAAAACAACTGCCTAATGGATTATTTGTATTCAATATCTACTATTTTTCTTTATTGACATTTGAAGTAGAAAAAAACCCACATATTTGATCGTCTTAATGGTTTTTATAGGTTGAAAAGCAATAAAATCATCTTCTGTGATCGAATGTAGTACAAGTGACTAGAAGAATGTATGTTTATGATGATGTTAATGATGCAGTTACTCTAAATAACGACACATTTTATGTATTATTAGTGAAAATAGTTCAAGTAACAATTATAAATTTTTTTTACTGAAATCTGATATGAAAAATTCAATAGTTAGTTATAAAGTATCCAGGGAGCTGCTATTAATCGGATTGTAAATGATACCAATATAAAAAACAAACCTTTATTACACTGTATACATTTTGGTTTATTTCCCAAAAATTAAGATAAATTAGGGAGAAAGTTTACAGCAAGTTCTGTCACATATTTTTTTGTGGAAAAATATTGATTCACTGTATAATCCGTCAAGAAGTTCATTGAAAAAAAATTTGGAAGATTTATTTTTAGCTTAACAACTTTAATATGATTATCTATTGTAATATTTCAACTGATTAAGTGATTACTGTAAATAGCTGAATTTCGTCCAGTTAGGTTCTGTTCATGCAGATTGAATCCATCATAAATATCTTTCAGTACTTAATTAAAAAAATACATCTTTATTTTTGGCTTTTAAATTATCTACTGCATTCATAGTAAGTTTTCGATAAGTACCGACTTTAAATTAGTTTTTGCATTGATTAATGTGAATATTATATATATATATATATATATATATATATATATATATGAGATCCTAATTGATAAGCAGAAGTGAAGGCACTAATGGGCAAAGCGAGCGCAGCATTATTACAATTGAAGAACATTTGGGAAACAAAACAACTATTACCCAACAACAAAGTCAAATTTTTCACTACAAACGCCATAACCGTCCCATTGTATGGAGTCAAAAGTTGGAAAACTACAAAAGCCATCATTCACAATAAATAAGTGTTTAATAAAAGTTGCCTATGCAAGATACTAGCGATTTGTCAGCCAGACAACATCACTAACAACCTACTGTGGGACAGAATAAATCAGATTTTATCTGAGGAAGAAATCGGGGAAAAACTCTTGAAGTGGATAGATCATATATTGAGGAAAGCACCTAATTTTACGTAAATAATTAATGAATATGTCGTCATCTTGTAAAAAGTACTTCAGCAATTGTAAAATTTCAAATAATAGTGATATTTGTACTCCTCCCTAGATAATTTTAGCTGGCGTCATTTATAAAGCGATTATTCCTTTTTATAAATTTGTTAGTGTACTATGCTTTTGTCAATAAATTTCATCATTTTCAAGTAACTTCAGTTTTTGTGATAAATTCTGAATTGATGCAATTTTTTCTAAATACGAAGTTCTCTTTCGTTGTAAAATCGATAAGCAGAGTGAACTTAATTGATTAACTATGTGAGAAATGTAGAGTGAATCATTTTTTTCGTATGATTTTACAGTTATCAAATGCATGAGCGTAATTCTCAACGACGTCATGTTCCATTAGATGAAGACCATTGTTTTTTTTTAGTTTAGAAAATAGTTTCACTCAATTATCTCAATTTTTAAGTTGCTCGACAAAAATTCGTCATTTGTCTAAGTTGATAAATGAACGACAATCATTTTCTCAAATATTATACAAAAATTCAAGCTTGTTGGTAAAATATATTTTGTTAATAAGCTTTATTTTTAGTTATTTTAAAAAAAAAATAAGAGATTGTTGAATTAACCAAAACAAAGACACTGCATAATTAAGACTTTTTATATAAAAATAATTCTTTGAAAAGCACTGTTTCAAGATGTTGTTTAATCTTGTGATAATAATATGCTCCAAACGTCCACACCGATAGATGTGGATAATTATTTTAGTATTGTGAATACATGTAAAATATAGTAGTTAATAGGTTGCCTAATTGCATAATTTTTTACATAATTAGACTACAATTTTCCTTTTAACAAATATGGATTCACAGAAAAACCAGATTCAGCTGCAAGTTAAACAAACATAAACTGCGAAAGATCCCAGTATGGCTACAATTATATATTACCAGAACACTAGTTTTCAAAGTAATACTATCCTCATTTAAGATGGTTTGTATTTCTGTACGTGAATTTGGTATTATGAATTTATCGATACAAGTATAATGCGAACTAATTAAGTATGTGTTCAAACTGAAAAAATAGTAGGGAGTGGATGGAATGTGGTTAGCAGTGGAATCAAGAACGCGTGTTTTATCCCAATTGAG